ATTAGGCGGCGCGCGTCGGTTGGTGCGCGCCGCGGCCCCCGTTGCCGTTTCCCTCCCTGCCCCCCCCCCGGGTGTTCTGGGTTGCTTAATAAGCGTGGGGGGATGCCCCCCCGATGGGGGTCAACCTCGCCTCGTCGTCGCGCCTCGATGGGGGTCGGAGCGTCTTCGGCGCGCGGTGGCTGCCCGCGACGGGGGTCGGTGTGGGGCTGTTGGCGGGGGTGACGCGCCCCCGACGCTTATCAAGACACTCGGAGTAACATGTTTTATCCTCCAGGATTTGATTAAAAGGTCTCGATCTCGAATCACCGAACGGTCCTGGGATATGACAGGGGCGAATCATGCCAGAGAAGTCCGCGGTGCCCGATACATCCTCCAGCACCGCCTGGTCTCCGAGATCTTCGACCTGTCCTGGTCAGGCTTTGTCCATGCCCTGGCTTCGTCTCACGGGAAGGCCGCTGCTGTTTGTTGCATGATTTTCGACCCCGAAAATAATCCGCCGGGTCGGTTTTAGAGGTCGCCGCGGCGGTCGCGGCAGCCACAAATCGTGGCAAGGCTTTTGTCAAGGAGTGGCATGCCCCTCTTCCACCCCCCTCGCTCTGCGATGCAGACGTGGCCCATAATTGACAACAGAGCGACAGAGAATTGCAACATTGTATGTCCAACACGGGCAGTCCTGTTTCTTTGGCTAGGGTCGGACACGCGCAGAGGGAAGGTATGGGGAAGGGGGAGGGCTTCTTAGAAACACCCCTGCTTCTTAGAAGACGCGGGCCCTATCTGTAGATGCAGGGCCAGCGCCTTCTAAAAAGCATCCTTCTTTCAAGAAGCCTTCCCCCTCCCCCTACCCCTTCGTTCGCGCCGCCAACTGGGGTCGATCATCACGCAACTCAACGAGCTGTTTTGGAAACCCATCTCAACATGAAGGCCGCCGAAGGTCACTGAATGCCGCTGAAATCCACTAGAGGCAGCTCAATGGCATTTGAAGGCAGCTAAAGGACACTAGAGGCAGGCCGCTAAAGGTTACTAAACCGAAGCGGTATATGTTAGAACACCAGCTGAGCTACTTCACGCATCGGAGTCGACTGCGCCGACACTGGCGCGCGAGCTGCCCGCGTAAGGTCGCGCGTGAGCGCCCTCGTTTCAAATGTGGCGTTCGGCGCGGGCGGCCCGCGTAAGCCGCGGCGTGAGGTCGCTGCGGTCCACCCGCGTAGCAAGGACGGGCTATTTTCCCAAGCGTACCCTTGCACCCATGCTTCCTCGGACCATCCCTGGCCATTTTGGTTGGCCGCGTCCCGCTCGAAAATGTTCGAAGTCGGCGTCCAGAGGCCCTTGCGTCTTCTTCGCGGTTACTTATCAAACGGGCCGACTGTATGTCATCTCGCGTAAGCCGCGCTTCTTCTCGTCGCTCAGCCCCAGACATGTGACGTCCTGATGTTTCAATACAGGGTCCCTGGAAGTCCCGACCCTTTCCCCGGGACCGGTTTCTCATCCCGAGTCGCTTTCTGACGGTCCCGAGGCGAGGGCCTCCCGAGGCCGAAAACGGCGGAACACCCGCCGCCCTGATCTTCTCACGACGCGATCATGTCTGGGGCTGTCTCGGTTTGCCCGCCCCCCTAGATTCGGATGCAACTCCTCGGAGGTCAAATTCTGATTTAGCCCTGGTCCGCAATCCCGCTTAATGCGGCTTAATTCCGCTCAATCCCGCTTAATCCAGGTTAAGCTTGTTTAATCCCACTGAATCCGGCTTGATCCCGCTCAATCCGAGGCCCCACTTGTCGTAACAGCCCCCCAGTGGGGCTTAATCCTCCGTACTCCTTCCGACGAAAACCTCTCAGAGTTGCCTCCTAACCTGTGGTCAAAACGGGTCCATGCCTTCCGCCTCTTGGGTTACGCTGGGCCCGTCCCTCTTCAGGGGGAATATTCAAGAATAGTCCAGACATAGTCTGGAGCATTTTTTGGGGCATATTTGGAGTATTTTTGGATTATTTCTTTTTTTTTTTCGTCCAAAATCCCCCTGTGGGGGGACAGGCCCGACCTGCCCCTGGGGCGTCGGTTCCCCCTTCGACCGCCCGCCGCCCAGGCCGGCGGCGCCAGGCCCCCCGCGAGGCCCGACGACGACCGGCTCCTGGGCGGCCAGGGCCGCTGTGGCGGCGGCGAGGACCCCGCCGCCGGCGGCACCTGGCAGGGCAGGGCCTCTCGGGGCTCCAGGAGAGGGGAGGAAGAGGAGGAGGGGACCCTCATCATCGTCATCATCATCACCATCACTGCCATCATCATCATCATCATCATCATCATCATCATCATCATCATCATCATCATCATCATCATCATCATCATCATCATCATCATCATCATGCATCAGCATCAGCATCAGCATCAGCATCATCATCATCATCATCATCATCATCAGCATCATCATCATCATCAGCATCAGCATCAGCATCAGTGTCAGCATCATCAGCATCATCAGCATCAGCATCATCATCATCGTCATCGCCGTTATCATCATCATCATCACCACCATCATCATCAGCAACATCAGCGTCAGCATCCGCATCATCATCATCATCACCATTATCATCATCATCAGCAGCATCAGCGTCAGCATCAGCATCATCATCATCAGCATCATCATCAGCATCATCAGCATCATCATCAATATGGTCTTGTCGGGCATGCCCCTCTTCAGGTTGAATCTCCAAGCATAGTCTGGAGGCATTATCCGAGTGGCTTAGGCAACCCGTTCTCCTCCTCTCCTCCTCTCCTCCTCCTCCTCCTCCTCCTCCTCCTCCTCCTCCTCCTCCTCCTCCTCCTCCTCCTCCTCCTCCTCCTCCTCCTCCTCCTCCCCCTCATCAACCTCCTCCTCCTTCTCTTCCTCCTCCCCCTCCCCTCCTCCATCTCCTCTTCCTCCTCCTACTCTTACCTCGGGCCTGGTCCCGCCGCCGCCGCCGCCGTCGTCGCCGGGGGGCCGCGGAAGGCCTTCTCAAGCAGCGGCGAAGCGTCCTGGCTCGCCTATATCCCTACCAAACAATGTTCTAAGAACCTTTTTGTGGTTTCCACGACATGTTCTTAGAACATTTCTGGCGGAGTCTGTCTTGTTTTTATCACATCGGGTTTATGTTCTAAGAACATTGTTTTTGTTCTTAGAACATTTTTTGGGTTCTAAGAACATTTCGTGGTATGACTATAGGACTGCCGGGACGGTCGGTCCCTGCTCAACCTTCCGGATATTCGGAGGGCCCTTCGAGGGTCCTTTGGCTGGCGGGCCTCCACGCAGGGGGGCCTCGATAACCCCAGGGCTTATCTCGACCTCTCCAATTCCATTCGATCCGATTCCGGTGGCCTCCGATGCCGATTGGATTCGGCCTGGGATTTCGATGCGGGTTCCGATTTCTTGCTGGACGGCCTTCTCGCATGCCGATGTCCGCCGATTCGATTTCTCCCGACTCGGCTGCCGATTTCCGTCGATCCGATTCATTTCGATCGCCGATCCGCTTTATCGTTTCGATTCTGGGCTCTCCTGACAACCGAGGATGGGATTGATTCATCTCAACTGCCTGGGGGGCCCACACTCCTGGTCGGTGACCAGCTCAGGAGCCTGCCCCGTCAGAGATGGTGGGAGAAGGAACGAAGAGACGCACGTAGTGACGTATAGCGGGCAACTGGGATGAACAGGGAGACCTCTGTGAGCAAGGGGGTGGTTTGGGAGGGCCTCTTCGGGCCATCCCTGGGGCCCGCGGGGGTTGCGAGGGGGTGATAAGGAGGAGGAGGAGGAGGAGGAGGAGGAGGAGGAGGAGGAGGAGACAATGGCAGCACCTACAGACAGGACTACATGCCGTGAGCGAGCGAGCGAGGAGGAGGGGGAGACACATCGCCTCTTGGAGCACTCTTCGGGCTCTTTTGGGGAGTGTTGTTGTCATGCTGGGGCCCTCTTGGGGAGCCTTGGGGCCCTCTTGGGGCCATATTGTGGCTCTCTCGGGACCCTCTCGGGAGCCCTTCAGGGGCTCGTCATCTTGGAGGCCATCGATCAGCGAAGGTGGGGTCATATAGTGCTCTTCCCAGGTCCATCAGATTCGCCTTCGGGCGCCCTCTTGAGGCGCTCTCGGGGCGATCTCGAGCGCTCTTGGGCCCCGTCTGGGGGTCCTTTTGGGCACTTCGTGTGGCTCTCTTGGGCCATCTGGGGCCATCTTGAGGCTTCAAAAGCGCATCGGAAGCGAAACGGCGAGAAGGCAACCATCAAGGACTTCCTAAAGGGTTTGAAGGATTGTGACCTCTTGGGGGGTCCTGGGGGCGCTCCGAGAGCACTTGGAACCGTCTTGGATCGATATGTGAAGCCTCCTGAAGCATGTTGGAAACAATATTGAGCTATCTTCGGCTATCTTGAGCCATCTTGTAGGCCATCTTGGCGCCATCATAGGCGAACAAGGACCTTGCAGCACCTCCCTATCACACCTCAGGCAGGGGAGGGGGATGGCATCCTCCCCGAAGAGACGAGGGCTTCCGAAGAGGAAATGATGAAGTCGTTAGACCACCTACGCCCAACTGCCTGATGAGATGATGGACATATTCGGAGGACTAGGGCAAACATATATCCACATCCACTGCCCCCTGTCTTTTTTCCACAGACGATGTATATGTCATACTCCAGGGATGCGAAGGAGTCTTCGATTTGCCCACATGTGTCATCTGGTTCTTGCATGCTCATGCCCAACGTGATCGTAGACCACGCCTTGCACTTCAATTGCCGCACGTCTCCGTCGGAGACAGCGGAGGCCCAGGGCGTGCCTTCCTTGGCCTTGGGCCCGCGCCATCCTTCAGCAGTCACTCCTTTCCTGGTCCTCCTGGAGCTCCCTCCGAAACCAGAGCGCGGGGACCGGACAGCAGGTCCATGGCCCGCTCGGGGCCCATGGGAGCAGGAGGAGGAGGAGGAGGAGGAGGAGGAGGAGGAGGAGGAGGAGGAGGAGGAGGAGGAGGAGGAGGAGGAGGCCGCGGACCTCTTGAAG